TGAGGCAGGAGACTCGCTTGAGCCCAGGAGTTGGAGGTTGCTGTGAGCTGTGATGCCACAGTACTCTACCCAGGGGGATAGCTTGAGGCTTTGTCTCAAAAAATAAATTAATTAATTAATTAAATAAAAAATTTTTGCCGTAAGAGATAAGGTCCTGCTATGTTGCCCAGGCTGGTCTCAAACTCTCAGAATCAAACAATCTTCCCATCTTGACATCCCAAAGTGCTGGGATTACAGGTGTGTGCCACTGTGACTGGCCTGGACTGTTGAATATTAAAGTACAGTGTGGTGGCACAGGCCTGTGGTCTCAGCTACTCGGAAAGCTGAGGTGGGAGGATCACTTGACCCCAAGAGTGACCTATGATTATGCTGCTGTACTCCAGCCCTGTCTCCTTAAAAAATAAAAAGTATTATGCCAATTAAATAAACATGTTAATGAGAACTAGCTTACACACTTTTAAGCTTTGCACATACATTTTAAAGACATTGTTCTATTGACTATGTCTTCTTTGAGGCCTTCTCCTGACAGCTGATGTGCACATATGCACAGGTATCCATAATCCTCCTCCTACTTCTTTCATAGGCCATTTCAGAGTGGTTATGTGCTCTCCAAATTCCTCTGACATTAGAGCCCACTCAGTGTTATCAACACTATAAATGTGGGAAATTGCTCATTTGGGAGTCCAATGTGAAAGAAGATGAATTCAACAGATCCTTGACATACTAAGTAAGGCTAACTTACTACATTATGCCATAGGACTACACAACTTCAAAGTGATGTTTCTTCACCCAGCTGCCTTATTATTCACTAAAGCACTGCAGCAGCTTCAGAACTATCCATTTAAAAGATAATGCAACTGGTATTAAGTAAAAGACTTCCTTTCAACCCTCAAGTTCCTATTCTCCTTACAGCTTGCATCTCCTGAACAAATTGTGAAAGCCACAAGAAACCTATTACTGTATTCACATATTTTCCCACATTTACTAGTCTCTAAAGTGGATGTGAAATAAAGAAAAATATCGTCATGTGCCTGTAGGTTCAAGAGGAAAAAGCAGTGAGCTATCCTTCCGCTAACGCCTCCTCCCGGACTGACAGAAGAGGACGACAGCTAGGCTCAGTGAGGGGATGCGCCCAGAGCAGGTGCAAGATAGGGCAGACGCCCTCTGCCTTCTTGTAAAAATCCAAATATATAAATACAGCACTTTTCATCTCTTGGTAAACTTTCCCTCTGTTTCTCAGAAATATAACAGTCTATAAGGTATATTCATTCAAAGCGATATTTCAGTCAAGACAGCAAAGAACTTGGAAGAACTGTCACTGATACAACAGACGAACGTATTTGGTGGAAATTCTAAGAAAATAATAAAAATGAGCAATCACCAGGTTTCTGCTTTATTTTCTTTTTCCTTAAATTTAGAATGAAAATGGGGCAGGGGATGAGGGAGAGATAGGGAAGTATGTGGGTTATTATGAAAGTTTTGAAAGACACAAAAATTAAGAAACATGGTGGTGCCTGTAGCTCAGTGGGTAGGGCGCCGGCCACATACAACAAAGCTGGCGGGTTTGAGCCCAGCCCAGTCCAGCTAAAATAAACAACGACAGCTGCAACCAAAAAACAGCTGGGTGTTGTGGCAGGCACCTGTAGTCCCAGCTACTTGGGAGGCTAAGGCAAGAGAATCGCTTAAGCTCCAGAGTTTGAGGTTGCTATGAGCTGTGATACCAGGGTATTCTACTGAGAATGACACAGTGAGACTCTGTCTCAGAAATAAATAAATAAATAATTAGGAAACATAAAATTGGCTCGGCGCCTGTGGCTCAAGCGGCTAAGGCGCCAGCCACATACACCTAAGGTGGCGGGTTCGAATCCCCAGCCCGGACCCGCCAAACAACAATGACGGCTGCAACCAAAAAATGGCTGGGCGTTGTGGCGGGCGCCTGTGGTCCCAGCTACTTGGGAGGCGGAGGCAGGAGACTTGCTTGAGCCCAGGAGTTGGAGGTTGCTGTGAACATGATGCCATGGCACTCTACCCAGGGGGATAGCTTGAGGCTCCGTCTCAAAAAAAAAAACAAACAAAAAAAAACATAAAATCAGCCAGGTGTGGTGGTTCATACCTATAATCTTAGCACTCTGGAAGGCTGAGGTGGCAGAACAGCTTGAGCTCAGGAGTTTGAGACCAGTCTGAGCAAGATCTAGACTCTGTCTCTACTAAAAATAGAAAAAAACAATTCGCTGGGCTTTGTGGTAGGCACCTGTAGTCCCAGCTACTCCAGGGGCTAAGGCAGAGGATAACTTGAACCCTTGAATCCAGGAGTTTGAGGTTGCTGTGAGCTAGGCTGATGCCACAGACACTAACCTGGGTAAGAGACAATAAAAAAAAAGAAAAGAAAGAGAGAGAAAGAGAGAAACATCAAATCCCCATGGATGGAAACAAATGAAGTCCTCCTAGCAACACTGATAAGCTGAGCAAGCTGAAACTTGCATGGGTGAATCAGATGTTTCTGCCTGAATTTCTTAGAATGAAATAATAGACCATGACACAATCTGTCTCAAAACTTTTGTACTGACCTACGTGTGCAAGCAAATAATGGCATATATTATTTTGTAAGGTTATAACTAGTAAGTTATGCTGTTACTAGTTGCTTGAGAAGTGTGATCTTGTAAGAAAGTGTCCCCCAGAACAAAAAAAGAGGAAAAGCAATGTTAAAGGAGAAAATAAACTTGCATATCATAGCAGAAACTGGGTATGTGTAGGAGAAAACAATTGGCCTTTTCTTTTTTTTACAGTTTTTGGCCGGGGCTAGGCTTGAACCTGCCACTTCCGGCATATGGGGCCGGGGTCCCACTCCTTTGAGCCACAGGCGCCGCCTATGATTGGCCTTTTCTAAGAATAGATTTCCCCACGACTTTCCTCTTACATATATAAGTATTTTTATATAACAAATAATTTTCAAGATAAGAAAGATAGAAACCAGAGGACTTCACTGACAACTATACAGAAATATTTACTTTGTATGACAAAAAAGTCAAGATCACAGTACACAGTAGTTATTTATTTAAATACCTGAAAAAGTCAATGATGGAAAAAATAGGTTTATCGTGAGAGTTTATATTCATTAGATTTATTTTATTATTAAAAAAGTACTGCCTCTAGGTTATCCTAGCCAGATATAGAACACTTCATGACACATGCAGCTACTCTAATACACTGTAATAGACACAGCCGTTATAGAATGATTTACACTTTGGGAAGAAATTCAACAGTAGTAAGGGTGACTCTTTATTTAAACTAAAAACAATAATATACAAATTGTCTTCCTCATTTGATTGAAAGGGCTATAAAATTTAACATACTGACAAAAGAAGCAACATAATCACATAGATAATACCTCTGCTAATTGCTTTTAACCTTACTTCTTTCTTAAAAGAGCTGCATACTCAGCTATACAATTTTCTAGACTGCAGGATGGCTTCGAGGCTGGCCTACCAGAAGTGACTGAAAGAAAGTCAACTTGGTAAGCTGACACTGGCTTGTGTATTTTTAAAAATGGAGAGAAGAGTGGCAAATTGTGCCACATGTACTTACAGAACCCAAAGGATCGTTCTGAGTAAATGTGAAATAAATAAGTGATCCGTGAGTAAATACAATCTCTGGACTGACTTAAAACTAGGAGAGCGAGCCTGTGAGCACTAACAATACCACGTAGAAATGTCTAGAAACGTCATTTCTAGTACTCAGTTTAGGAGACCACATCTTGCCTGAATATGTACATTATTTACAAAATATTCCCTTTTGGCCTCTGAAATTTAGCCATTTTAGTTTGGCTGTTAGCTGTTTCTTTCCATATACTAGCCAATACTGCAGTTATATCTATCATTAAAATACTCTTACGCATGAATTACAAATATTAATAAAGTAACTCTGCATGTATAAATATCTCAATATTTCTAGCAGAATTTAAAGCATTCAGAATGTACATAAAAGTATTTGTTTTTGGTAGGGACCGCATTTTGTTTTAATCATCGTTGTTTCAATAATGCTCTGTACATAGCAAAGCCCAAAACTGCAAAAACAGTAGCACCAAAACTTGCTCGAAGCCAAAATGTGGAGCTCTTGAGGTCAGCTTGTGTCACGTGCCTGTAGTCAGAAAATATAATTAATATTTAAAACATGATTAGTAGGAAAATATTATGCCAGTGATGTAACAGTCTACTTTAGGGAAGTATTAGCACACTTGTCAGGCTAATTGCATACAGTAATGCTCCCCAAAACATTTATCAATATAGCCGTGTATACATTGCTTAGATAGTCATTACCTTAAGAAAATGACATAATGTAGACATTAATAAAGACAAATGTCTTTCCAATTAGCTACAACTGGGGGATAGACAAGTAAAATTTTATACATTTTCTTTACATGGGAAATGAAGATATTAGACAAATCAACCTACTACTTTTTACCACCACCATGGTACTTCAAATGAGTTCTCACACTTCTGAGGGTCACAGAACTTAGATAATGTGCAATCTCCTGTCCCCACAAACAGAAAGCTATTTTGTAAGCAGTTAAGCGACAAGTGACAATACTTTTCTAAGAGCAATGACTAAAGTTAACTTTGGAAATATTGAGCCCCATAAAAATTTACCAAAAATATCCCAAAGTGGGAGGAAAACATTTACCAGTTTGCATTAATTTGGTTACTGCTAATTAAAGAAGGAAAAAACAAAAACAAAACAAAAAACTGAACCCTGGTGTTAGTCGGACAGGCAGTGATAATGGTATCAACTAAAGGACATGATGTCACATGATGGACTGAAAGGTAATGACATAAAAGAAGCCAAATTATGCATGACGAGAACAGGGACAGCCTGTACCACATACTGAGTTGTGAGCATGCTCAGTTAATAACACTGCTAAGCACCCTCAGAGTCTCAAGTATGACAGCTTACCATGCAGAGGATAAAGCTTTAAAGCAAAGGTTGGACATTTTATTCAGATGTCTCACTAAAGCCTTAGTTAAGCGAACACAATTGAGGTGATGCAGAAAACCTACAGAATTCAGAGCTTAGAGACTGTCTAGTTTAGGTTATTTTACAACTACGTTAAACAGATTTGAAGCAAATATCAGACATCATTAAAAGACCAAGACACTGACATATGCAAAGAGTTAAGAGTCAAGAATTTCAAATTGCATAAAACTTTCCCTCAGTAATAATCACAGAATGATCAGATTAGTTACCACAAAATACATCTGTACTCCCCTAGAAACAAATCTATAACATAAGCCAGATGGCTCCATGCTCATCACCATGGCAAAACAACACACAACACTCCAATTCCTTATCCTCACCAGTTTCTACTAAAAAAAAAAAAATCACCCCTTACATCATTATTTTTAGTAAAACAAAGTGATAGCTACCACTTGGAAGTTAGTTCTTCTAACAGGCAATGTTTTATTTTAAAAAAAAAAAAATTACAGGAGAGAATACTTAGTTGTTTTTTTTTCCCCCAATTAGAAAAACTCCAACAAGTCCAAACCATCAGTTGCGGGAACTGTTACCTGGCTTCAAGAAAAAGTGGACCATGGGATGACTCCATGAAGATGGAATCTTCTACAGAGCCGACAGCGTGCACCTGGTGAGTAATACTGCCTTCGTCGTCTGCTAACAGCATGGCACCCCACTCAGCTACCCGGGCTCTTAACCTTTCATACACATGGCACAGTTTGTAGTTCATGGCAGAGCTCACAAAAGAAGGGGACTCAAAATAACATCTCTCAATTATATATCCCACACACAAATTGAGTTGCCACCTTATACGATGCATCTCATGCTTTCTATATTTAAAATAAATGTATTCTATAGCAAATTGCCAAACTTAAAAGGAATTCTATCTATATGTACTCTTTTAAAACATTCACACAACAGACAAGGAAACCTAATGCTGTTATACACATTCTCTATATATCCCTCTGAGGCTGGTCTTGGTCTGAAATACCAAGCAGAATCTTCGAAACCAGTACACTAAGCAGTCCTGACAAGATGTGCTCAGCTCATTTGAAATGAGGCTAACACCAATTAGTTAAGTCTATGGATGCTTATAATTTCAAGCATCCATATCTGGACTATCAGGAAGTACAAGTATACCTCTGTGAAAAATGAATCCAACATTCCAGACTTCTAGATTGCTATAGACCCTCAGGAGAGGAATGAAGTTTACAACTCTAAGTCAACAGAGATGTGCAGAATTTGAAGTGGGAACTCAGCCTAAAAGTACGTGAGAGCTTCTGCTTTGGTCTCCCTGTGATCATCGTGCATCTTTACTGTGGGAGATTTTTGATTTTGTTCTTGAATTTTTATGTATATTTTTATCGTAAGGGGAGAAAGAGATTAGGATTTAAGCTAGTTGCAATCAACTTAAAACGACTTATGAATAGTCTTCAAGTATGGACGTTTGTTTTACACAGCTCTTTGCTGTGTTTTCAGAATGTAGACATCACTCATGACTTTATTACTTTTCTTTTGCATTTCAAGATCAATATAGATATGTGTTCAAGGTACAGTAGCTTGAAAATTAAACTATTAGCTCAAAGTATATTTCAATGGCCCTATCAATGTTTATAGTAGTTGTTTAAGACACTTTTAGACAGAGAAAGCTTAGAGAACTATTTTATGCCTTTATCACATTCATTTAAAAGCTGTACTACCACATTCTATTTATAAAAGAGAAAGCTTTATAATAGATGGCACACTTGTCATTGCTAAGCTAACTGATACCACCTGAATAGAGAATGGTGTGATCTTAAACGTAATCCGTAAGTGAGAATCAGAAACAGATTCATGTTTGTCATTTGAGTTCTCAAACAGAAGCAGAATAACAGTTCCATAAAGTTACTTCCTGGTTAAGCAGAAGTAATTATTCCGCAATTCAAAAGCATTAATTCTTACAAAATGACATAAAAAATATCATCTTAGAATAAATTATAGTATCTTATTACATACTTTTCCTTTCTTTCTTTTCTTTTCGAATACAAAAAAGATAATACATGTATATGCTTACTAGAAAATCTATGGGGAGAAAAAGGCAAAGTAGAAAGAAAAAAAAATCACTGGCAGTGCCCATGGCTCGGTGGGTAGGGTGTCGGCCACACACACCAAGGCTGGCAGGTTTGAACCAGCCTGGGCCAGCTAAACAATAATGACAACTGCAACATAAAAATAGCTGGGCAAAAGTTGTGGCGGGCACCTGTAAGTCTCAGCTACTTGGGAGACTGAGGCAAGAGAATTGCTTAAGCCCAAGAGTTTGAGGTTGCTGTGAGCTGTGAAGCCATTGCACTCCACTGAGGGAGACATAGTGAAACTCTCCCCTACCCCCAAAATGACCAATTAAAATTTAAGGTATTTCCTTTTCTTTCTTTTTTCTTTGAGAAAGAGTCTGGCTCTGTTGCTCTGGCTAGAGTGCTGTGGCATCAGCCTAGCTCACTACAACCTCAAACTCTTGGGTTTAAGGGATCCTTCTGTCTACCACAACACCTGGCTAATTTTTCCATTTTTAGTAGAGATGGGTCTCACTCTTACTCAGGCTGATCTCAAACTCTTGAGTTCAAGGGAGCCTTCAGTCTTGGCCTCCCAGAATGCTAGGATTATAGGCACAAGCTACCACACCCAGACCCTCTTAAACCCTTTTCTTTTTCTTTCTTTCTTTTTTTTTTTTTTTTCAGTTTTTGGCCGGAGCTGAGTTTGAACCCACCACCTCCGGCATATGGGGCTGGCACCCTACTTTGAGCCACAGGCGCTGCCCTTAAGCTTTTTTCATGTATTTCTTACATAGCTACAAACATAATATGCATAATTAATATTTTTCCAAATTTGCTATAATATAAGGATTCCCGAGTAGCTTTGACTTATAGGCACACATTACCATGCCTGGCTAATTTTTACATTTTTTTCCTTGGTAGAGATGGGGTCTCACTGTGTTGCTCAGGCTGGCCTCAAGTGATCCTCCCTTTTTAGTCTCCTCAGTGCTAGGATTTCAGACATGAGCTACCACATCCAGTGTGATTATGGAAACATTTTTAATAGCTGGATATATTTCATTCTCCTATTGCTAGCTATCTCCATTTATTGGTGATGATAAAAAATGATAAAATATCTTTCCACATAAGCTTTTTCTTCTATATTTAGGATATTTTCTTTATGATAAATTTTTCAGAAATGAGTATTACTGGGTCAAAAATGTGCTTCTGCATATATTTATGAAGGTTCTTTTTTTAACCTGGTAATGTATAGGAATCACCAAATTTTCCCACTCTGTGTGAAATAAGTTCATTTAGTTCGGCAGTATCTCTTTTTAGAACATGAGAAATAATGACTAAATGCTGGAATATAACCATATCTAATCATTTAAAGCTTGTCAGAGTCTTCGAGTTTTAGGTGGAAAATTCCAGTGTCTGAGATGCTATCTTTCTGGCTTGGCAATCCTGAGTGTCCACATACATATCAGCCATCAAGCATTCCTTGACATAGGTATGGAGCCAATCAACATGGGCCTTATTACAGCTGCTACTTAATAATGCTGAGAGATGGAAATGTTTCATAATTGAGGTAATAAAGAGTTAAATGAAGAATTGTGTCAATAGTCACACAGGCATATATAGGGTGAGCAAAATTCCTATGTAGCTTTGCACCGAATACCTTAAAAAAAAAGCATTTAAAATGCTTTTTTTTTTT